ATTTAACCCCTAGAGTGCCGGGGGGTGCGATCGCGTTCCTCCTGTCTTTTGCCAAAAGTGCCGGGAGCGCTATCAAAGCTTCGGAATGGCGTCCAGTTCTAAGTCTGCTTTTACTAGTGATGATGATATTGCTAAATATGTCAATGTAGTAAAGGTTTCCTTAAGTTTTTGAATATGTAACTTCATTTACTTGCGATTCATAATTTTTTTCCTAAACTGCTGTAAAATCAGCAAAAACGCCTTGGCAATTTTAGCATCGTTCCTAGGATATTGGTTGGGACTCAAAGGGTTAAAGGGCCAGAAGGTTGAGAACCACTGCTCTAAGCAGCCTGCTGTCCTGTCAAGTTCTGCACCAAGTTGGCTAGTTGGCTCACACTTGAGAGAAGTTTTTACTGGAAATGTCAGAAGAGAAAAACAAGGAACTAGCATTACTGAGTAGCTTCTATGTGCCAGCTACTGTTCTGGGCAATTGCACGTATCCACACATTGTTTACTATCCAGGCGTAAACATTCCCCTTTTCAGATGAGGAGGAAACGGAGAAGTTAAATGACTTGCCTAAGGTCATACAGCCAGAGAGCGATGGAAGCATGGCTAGAGACTTTCCAGTCCATGGGGATCATGCCCCCTCCCCTCACCTAACTATTTCTGTTTCCTTTGTTCTTGCTATGATTTGACATCAATGGAACACCAGGCCTGCTGTTTAGCCAGCCGAGAACCTGGCAGTGGACACAGCTGCGGCCAAGAGCACTTAATGGCTAAAAAAGGAAATAACTTTCTATATGTGAATTCTGGCCAAATGGTGGCAGATGCTGAAGTCTGGGAATCCTGACCACTGTGGGCTGAGGGCCCTGATGTAATCATTAATTCTGGGAGCAGCACAGGCAAGAGGTGGCCAGCCACTAAGCCGGAGGCTGGAAGGAAAAACCCTGGCCTCTTATGGGAAGTGGGAAAAGCCCTGCCTGGGGAGTAAGAGACTGGGCTCTGGTCACAGGTTTGTCACCAGCTGTCAGTCCTGGAAGCTCTTTGATCTTCTTTCCCTTTTACAGACAGAGAAAATGTAGGCTTTGGTACCAGGCTCCAGTACCGTAGGCGGTATCTGCTGGTGGTGTGACTTTGTACAAGCGACTTAACCACTGAGCCTCAGTTTTTCTATCTGTGAAATGGAATCATACTTCTTTCCTGGCAGGGCTACTGAAAGGGTTAGAAAGTAGAGTTGTACAGTGCTTCACACGTGGAAAGCACTTAACTTAGTGGTATCTGTCATCACTTAACTATCCTCGACCCTCGCCTTCATCTTGTGTAAAAATAAGGGGTTGCATTTTTATTGATCTCTAGATTTCAGCTCTACTGCGCTGTGAATCTATGACAAGAGGTGGCAATAATAAGGAAATGTAAGCATTTCATAAATATAATTTCCATTAGTAATTGTATAGCTTCTAATCCACCCCTCTGGGGACAATTAATAAAAACCTCTCAGTATTTAACTGTAATTGAATAGCTTTATTTGCCATGCCTCCCACCCACTCCTTATATTTTTTCTTCCAACATTTGAAGAAGAAAAAATACTTAACTTAGCATAATCCTCTTTCTCCACTTTGCCTGCTCCTTTCCACCTCCTTGGCCTTGAAACAACTGTTTGCCAGCAGGGTGTCTCTGAGCAGACCCCTCTGTTCTTGCTGGAATTAAATCATTAGATTGAAAGAGGAGTTAATTATCTGCCATTGGCTAGAGTAGGAGGCAAACTGAAGTGATACTTGGTCTCAGCCATCTGTCTCTCCTTTTCTCTCATCTCCATCTCCCTCTCCCCTCCACCGTGCTCAAGGATCAGAGACACAGGCTCTGATAGAATTGCCCCCCACCACTTGCAAATCAACTGCCTATTCTGACTGTGACCTCACAGACATCCCTGAGGCAGTCCTCGGAGGTAAAGTGGCTGGCCTTTGGTAAGGATTTTCAAGAAAGGAACTTCAGTGATAAGGATTTTCAAAAAAGGAACTTCCGGCCAGTTAGATCGACTAGCACAGTTGTTAAGCAAGAGCGTTGTTGCTAGACTAGACAAGAGCTGGGTTTGAAGCCAACTCCCTGCTTAATAGCAGTGGGATCTTGCTCAAGTCACCCTCTTTGAGCCCTGTAAAAAGGGGACCAGTAGTCCTCATTTCATCATGTTTTTGAGAGAATCCAATGAGGAAAACATATATAAAGAAACTTGCAAGTGCCTAGTACGTAGAAAGGTCTCAATGCGTGTTAGCTTATTTGATTATTACTATTATTACCTAGATTCAAATTCTCTTTTTGGGTAGCTCTGGGTACACTAGGCAATGGAGCTGAGACTCTCCAAGGATAACGAAGATCCCTGAGGTAGCTGAGGACCAAGACCACCTTCTCATGTAATTCTCCCTGTACCTTCATTTCAGGGAGAAACTACTAGAATGAGGGGAAATCAGGAAAAGGTACACTGATGACTAAAGTACAGAAGAGTTCTGAGATGACAGTTCTATTTGGCACTTCATCAAGCCACCTGTGACGTCTGGCATAGCCCAGCAGCTCCATAAACACTTTCTGAACTAAACGGCACTGATGTGATGCTGTGTCTAAGGCACCCATGAAGTGAGGTTCTCTGAGTCTATTTTACAACAGACTTTGTTGTCTTGCAGGAGATCAGGGTTGAGTTGGAGAGAGAATGCACAGCCAGTAGACCAAATAATTCACTTTGTAAAACTGAACTGAATTATTCTTTTCGTTAATCCCCTCAGCACCCCACCCAGTGCTGGTCACATCAAGGGAGCGTCATAAATGTTGGCTTGATGGCATAAAAGCTGACTCCCAGGCCTTCCCTACCACCAAATGGCAGAGTCCTGTCTCAAATCACTCACTGCTCAGGGTGAGCAGGAGACCTAAGAGCTGATGGGCTCTGTCCTTAGCGGGAAGATGGAGGGGAACTTTCTGGTGCACACTGACGGGATCAGAAACTGGAATGAAGTCCTGGATGTGTCCCCATTAGTCTTCATTTCTTTGAATCCGTCTTATCTTCTCTACATGTCTCCTCCTTTGAAAAACAGAGGTAATAACCATCACCCACCAAAGTGGCTATGAGGAGTCCTTATTCAATAATAAAAATTGAGCCCGGCCGGCATGGCTCAGTGGTTGAACATTGATCTATGAACCAGGAGGTCATGGCTCAATTCCCTGTCAGAGCACATGCCCGGGTTATGGGCTCGATCCCCAGTGTGAGGTGTGCAGGAGGCAGCCGATCAATGATTCTCTCTCATCATTGATGTTTCTATCCCTCTTGCCCTCTCCCTTCCTCTCTGAAATCAATAAAAACATTTAAAGAAATATTTATTATGTACCTAATGATAGAATCTAATGCAATAAGTATACAAAGTAGAAGACAGGGCTTTGGACTTTGAGAAATCTACTACCAATTTGAGGGGAAAAGCTTTTACATCTTTGAGGGCAGAAACCATGCCTGGTTTTACTAATTCTATAGCTATCATTGAGTACCTAATATGTGGCAGACCTGATACTTTGCAGACCTGATACTTTGAACCGTGACGGACACATAGGGACTCCAGAAAGTACTTTCAAATTGGCTGATAGCAAGAAACTTTTGGAGAACAAGTGTAAGGCAGCATATAACTAAGCCTGAGAATGTATCCTACTTGCTGGGGGGTAACTGAGTCTTCAGAGTTCAGGAGCCATCAGAGAGGGCTGAGGTCAATTTGAGAAGTCTTCTCCATTGTCTACTTAGACTTGTGGGATCCGAGGAAGAGGTCCTGACTGAGTGTATGTTCGTCTGGATTGCTCTAAATTGATTTTCTTTGGAAACATTGGCTGCACAGGGAGGCAACAGGAGGAGCACTGACCTGGAAATGTAGACAACTTAGATACCCGAATTTTCTCTCTAGCCACATAATACATGAAGTAAGGTTATAAAATGATTCATGTTCACTATACACCAAAGCCTTCCATTGGCCTCTTCCATCTTATCCAAGTATCATGTCTTGTTACCAAACAAGTCCTCTGTTGATTCCTCCAAAATGTTTGCTTTGTCCCAGGCTATGACATATCGAAAGAGGATGTTGAAGGTTTTGGAGTGGAGAACCCTCAGCGTTGGGATGCTCTTGTCCAGTTTCTAGGGACCACCTCCTTTTGCCTGGGTCGCTTCAGAACTGGTACCAGTGGCAAAGGGCTGTAGAAATCGATTTCCCAGAGCTCTTTGCAGGGCCCTGCTCTGAGGATGCCCTCCTCCACCCCCCAAACTAGAGTTAGCCTCCTGCCATATATTCCTATACTGCCCTGTACTTCCTTCATGTTAACACATCACATTTTATTGCAGTTATGGGCTTAATTTCTCCCCTTAATGAACGGAAATAAGGGCAGTCAAACTCAGAAAAGGCAGGAAGTCCTTGTTTGTCTTTTGTTGCTGTTGTTTGTTTGTTTATTTATTTATTCAAATGTATCTTTATTGTTAAAAGTATTGCACACGTCCCCTTTTTTCTTCATTGACCCCCTCCAACCCCACCCCCCAGGCCTTCACAAGTTTCTTTGGCTAAGGTTGTGGGAGACCCAAAGGGACTTAGTGTAGTCGGAAAACTGACTTCAGTAGAGACCTTTCATGTTATAAACCGAGCAGCTGGTACATGGTAAGAATTTTCAGTTTTTCTGACCTTGCCTGAATCATTCAGGAAGTCACAAGTGAGAGGTCTTCACCCTATTTGCTGCCATCGAGTCCCAGTGGATAGCCTCACCCCACCCCGCCTTGGCGAGTTTCTCTTGTCTTTTCCTGAGGAGCCACCATTTCCAATACTGTCTTTCTGATATTGCACGATGTTCCCTCCTGTGCCTGTGCTTTACTTCTTCCAGGTGACCCACCAATGAGGGAGTCAGCAACGAAGACTCTTGACAGACCAAACCAGAGCACCACATTCTTTGCCTGGAACTATTTTATACTTCCTTGGGGACTTGCAAGGCACATGTGACAGAGTCAGACGGATCAGAGGAAAAGTCTTCAGGGCCTGAGGAGAGTTTGTAAAACTTGCCCCAAATCCTAGAAGTGTATGACATTTGTTTATCTCTTTCTTTTCATTTACTTTTTATTTGCATGTGTTTTCCTCCCACTTTCTCCCCTTCTGCTTTTCCATCTGTTTCTCTCTTCTTTGTAAGCTTTCTACTTGCTCTTTCTCTTTCCTTCTCCAATTGTTGTTCTTCCCCACCACTGTCCTTGCTAGTAATGGCTGCCTTTTATTCAGTTCTTATATACTGAGCACTCTGCTAAGTGCTTTGTATCCACCACCTCATAATACTCTGCGAGCTAAATAATATTATACCCATTTTGCAGGTGGTAGAATTGAGACACAAATCCAATAACTTCTCCAAGCTCAGCTTGAGCTCCAATTAGCTAACCCCCAAGCCATCTTCTCTTAACCGATACATGGTTTATTTTTCTCCATTTCCAACTCCCCCTTGTCTTTTACCTCTTTTTGTTCCTTGTCATGCTCTTCATCATCTCTACTTCTCTCCCTCCCCTTCTCTTACTCACCACATCCCGGTCCCCATACTTCTGTGCCTGACCCTGAAGGTGCTGAACACTGTGCACGTGCCCAGAAGAGATGACAGACCATTTAAACTCTTATCTAATCAGGCATTTTCCTTTTGAGCAAACGCTTCACATTTTCCCACATTGTCTGATCAAAAGCAGAGGAAAGGCCTCCAGACCTGGCTGGGTCTTTGATATGGAGGGAAGAGAGATAAGGCCCTTTCCGCTCACTCATGGATTCCCTCATCCCCAGAGACGCTGTGTACTCTAGGGTTAGGGAACGTGAAGGGAGGTGAGAGGCATTGGTAGAACTCTGTCAAGGAACCAGCTCAGGAGCCAAAGAAGCCTGGGCCATGAAATGTGGCACTTCCACCCCCTCATTCCTCATATGTATAACGAATGTTCAGATCGGAACCAGGGCATACCGGCAGCAAAAATGTGAAGGTCAAGGTTTGAGCTTGACAATCTTTAATGCCCCATCAGACCCATCAGAGTCTGAGGTTTTATGATTCTAAGAATATTCCACCCCTGTCCTCCCCTCACATTCTTTTCTTTTTGTCATTCTGTTGATTAGAATTGGTTAGAAGCTTGCCCTGGCTGGTGTGGCTCAGTTGGTTGAACATCATCCCATGCACCAAAAGGCCACTGGTTTGATTCCTGGTCAGGGCACATATTCAGGTTGTGGGTTCAATTCCTGACCAGAGTACATGTGGGAGTCAACTGGCCCATGTTTCTCTCTCACATCAACATTTCTCTCTCTCTCTTTCTCCCCCCTTCCTCTCTCTAAAAATATTTTTTAAAAATCAATGAATATATATATATAATTGATTAGAAACTTAAGCCAGGAGGACATTTATTGTTCATCAATAAGAATTCTAGAGGTAGGAGATTTAAGGGTTTCAGAGGCCTCAGGGCACTATGTGCTATTTCTGAGAGTCTCTGGGCAACTTCAGACATCTTGGCTCACACAGCCCCGTCCACGGGCAGGAAGGGGTGGGGGTAGGGACGACTTCAACAGAGGCTCCCTTTATTTACTGAGAGTTGGAGAGACATTTCCTAGAGCACTCCCTCCACATCAGTCTCTCCCCATGCCTCAGTGAGCTGACCTAGCTGCAGTGGAGACTGAAAAAGTGACATTGGCCCTTTCACCCTACTAATGGGACCCAGGAAAGGAATAGGGACTTAGATTGCCACTGGGTAGGAAACACCAGTGCTTGACACCCCTTTCTTAATTCACTCAACAAAGATACACTAAGCACCCACTCTAGGCCAGGCTCTGGGTCAGGTGATGATGATACAAAGGAAAAGACGGTTCCTGGTCTCCATGAGCCCTGACTGGAAGAACACAGATGGGCAAAGGATTCCAAAACAAGATGGCAAGTGTAGGGGAGGAGTGAGCATTCCCAGGGCCACCACAGGAGCTGAAGAGGCTCAGCCTGAGAGAGCAGAGAGGGCTGGAAGAAGCCATGACTAGGTCAATTTTGAAGGGTAGATGGGATTCAGCTGGGCTTGAGGGGGCCTGTAGGAGGTGGTTTGGAGGAGGACATCTGGAAATCTTCCAGACTTGGCATGTTTGGATAAAGGGAACTAAAGGGGACAGGCAGGAAATGAGGCTGAGAAGGAGGCAGGGGCCTAATGAGGGAAGGTTTTGTATGGGACATAAGGGATTGGGGCATTTAGTCTGGATGTGAGAGTGAGCAGGTCTGTGGTGGGAACCTTCTGTATGTATGCAGAAGGCCAAGCCACGCTGTACAGCTGCAATGGTGCTGTGGTGAAGGAGATCCACATTGCCCACTGCTTGCAGCTAGGGGGACCTGAGCACTCATCTGTGATACCTTACCCGGTGTGACCGAAGACTTTTTGTTTGCTAGCGCCCAATACACCTGGTCCATACCGGATGGTTCTGATGATTAGAGAATGCTTCCTGGGGGGCCACATTTGGCACTCACTCTTTCCTCCTCCACCTAGTTCTACCCTCTGGAGACATAAAATGTTTGTTTTCCACCTAACAGCCGTTCAAGCACATGGGACATTTGTGGTATTTCAACATACCACATTGTTGGGTACATAGGTCCTGATCCTGCTTGACTGTGCCAACTGTTGGGTCCAAGCCCCTCTGCCAGGGACTGGGCCTCCTTAGATGCCAGGTGGTAGATGGAGAAGGTATAAGAAGTCATGGATATATAAGAGTCTTTATTGCAGGTCAAATAGCCATTGCTAACAAGGAGCCCTTAGACAAAACAGTTCTTCAAAGCAGAGTCCCATAAAGGCAGGCAGCCGCACACTGACTGGTTAATAAATACATCTTTCCCATAAAGTGGCCTCCCACATAGGAGATATACAGGAGTTATTATTAGAGCTACAGCCTCCAACATAGGGGCCCATCTAGGAGCCTCACATAGTAGCAGCCGCATACTGACGGCTGGTCAGTGGCAACTTATATACAAGCTCAAACAAGCTTAAACAAAAGAGGCTTCATGCGAAATAGTGACCTCAGTAGCATTTGGGCTACAGAAGGGTATACTTGCACAGTGCATAGATTGCTGCATCCTTGCTTTTGCATCTGCATATAGCAATTTCGCCTTGAACATTCTGGTTAAGATTCCCACGCTCAGAGTGGCCTTGAACACCCAGCGTACTCTGAGAAGGGCCCCTACACTCCAATTGGCCTTGAGCATCCGGGATACTCTGACAGGGTTCCCACACACATAACCTTTCATTTAATCCTCAAAACCCCCTGGTGTGGCTCTTCCCCTCCCCATTTCACAGACAAGAAACAGATTCAGTGAGTTTGTGCCAAGTCACATTAGCGGATTTTCAAGACTCCAGGTCTGGTTCTTGGCCAGACTGCCTCAGAATCACTGGTCTGCTTATCAAAAATCCAGATTGGGGGTAGGCGGGAGCGGGGGGAGGGGCGCACTCCAGACTCACTGAAGTAGAATCTCTGGTGGTAAGAGCACAGAATCCACATTGTAACACACATCTCAGTTCATTTCTAGATCCATTAAAGTGTGGGAACCATGCTCTAGGCTTGCTAATAAAACCACTTCTAATCTCCCTCTGTGTGTTTTTGCTGGAGGGTCTGGGGGAGAAGAGAGCTCTTTAGCTGAATCTGATGTATTAGTTGCACTCTCTTAGAGCACACACCGGTGTGAATCGGTGGCATCCCAGGGCAGGACTGGAGCTCCCAGTCCTTGGCAGCAGCACCCCATTCCCTTTCTCCCCCTATTTGCAGGTCTCCGCCCGCTGCTGAGCCGCGATGGGCGACTGGAGCTTCCTGGGGGAGTTCCTGGAGGAGGTGCACAAGCACTCCACGGTGATCGGCAAGGTCTGGCTCACAGTGCTCTTCATCTTCCGCATGCTGGTGCTGGGCACGGCCGCCGAGTCCTCCTGGGGCGACGAGCAGGCGGACTTCCAGTGCGACACCATGCAGCCGGGCTGCGAGAACGTCTGCTACGACCAGGCCTTCCCCATCTCGCACATCCGCTACTGGGTGCTGCAGATCATCTTCGTGTCCACGCCGTCGCTGGTGTACATGGGCCACGCCATGCACACGGTGCGCATGCAGGGAGAAGCGCCGGCTGCGCGAGGCCGCCCACGGGGCCGGGGAGGGCCAGGGCGCCGGCTCCTACGGCTTCCCGGCGGCCGAGAAGACGGAGCTGTCCTGCTGGGAGGAAACCAACAGCAAGATCGTCCTCCGGGGCACCCTGCTCACCACCTACTTGTGCAGCATCCTGATCCGCACCGCCATGGAGGTGGCCTTCATCGTGGGCCAGTACCTGCTCTACGGCATCTTCCTGGACACGCTGCACGTCTGCCGCCGCAGCCCCTGCCCCCACCCCGTCAACTGCTACGTGTCGCGGCCCACGGAGAAGAACGTCTTCATCGTCTTCATGCTGGCGGTGGCCGGCCTGTCCCTCTTCCTCAGCCTGGCCGAGCTCTACCACCTGGGCTGGAAGAAGCTGCGGCCGCGGCTCGCCCGGCCGGGGCAGGGCAGGGCTGAGTGCCAGCTGCCCGGCCCCTCCACGGGCTCGGCCCCGGGCTGCACGCCGCCCCCCGACTTCAGCCAGTGCCTGGAGAACGGTCCTGGGGGCAAGTTCTTCAACCCGTTCAGCAACAGGATGGCCTCCCAGCAAAACACGGACAACCTGGCCACCGAGCAGGTGCGCGGCCAGGAGCCGATGCCCGGGGAGGGTTTCCTTCACATCCGCTATGCCCAGAAGCCGGAGGTGCCCAATGGCGTCTCCCCAGGGCACGGCCTCCCCCAGGGCTACCAGAGGGACAAGCGCCGACTGAGCAAGGCCAGCAGCAAGGCCAGGTCCGATGACCTCTCAGTGTGACCCTCCGGTGGGGGGGACTGGGACCAGGTGGGGACCAAGGAGACTCAGAGAAGGAAGAGGGGTTCCTTCCGACCCCACCTGTCTTGTTCTCAGCACCGCTCTGCTCCTTTGGGGCCAGCGCTGTCGGAGATCTAGCCAGGCCTCTGTCTCTCCCCCACCCTCTACCCAGTGCACTCAGTGAAGACTCAGGTTACTCGCTCAACAGGGGAGAGCAAGGGAAGGGACTGAGGCAAAGTCTGGCCTGGGAGGGGTAGCCAGAGAGAGAGGATAATTCTCTCCATGCCAGCCACTTGCCAGAGGGTTCTCTGAGTCTCTATGGCGCCTGTGAACTGAGTACCCTTCCTCCTGCAAGGAAGACCCCAGAGCTCCTAGCCAGTAAAGAGCATGAGCCAAGGAACTTGCACAAGGTGTGCTCTGGAACCTGTGGTGTCCACGGGCCAAGCCTTGGAGGCAGCGAGGTTGCCTTGGGCCGCCCTTGGCTGCCGCTGCCTCTACCCAGTCTTACCTAAAATGAGGTCCTTGGAGCTTGACCAGTAGCCTCGACTTTACAAGTGCCTTGGTATGCACGCCTGGCAAAGGTCCAGCCTTTACTCTGCCAGGGGGTGGGCGCAAGCAGGCCAGGGGGTGCACTTTCCCCTTGGGAGCCACTGTGCGCAGACTCCCTGGAATTCCTGCCACCACCTGTCCTGTAGCTCTTTACAGTTCAGCCCGATGACAGAAACCATCCTTTCCTGGCCTCCGGTGGCTGTTCACCCAGTGCTCCCCGACAGGCCTTACCAGCCAGGAGACCCAAGAAGCCATCGTCCTCTCTCAGATCCTGACCAGATCACCAGCCTCGGAGGCCAGTGGAATTTCCCCAGGTCTTATTAAAACAACAAGAACATTGTGCTTCTCAGATTCCCCTTGGGGGAAAAAAGCAAGTCTGCTGTGAAGATGAAAATTAAAAGAGAGAAAATACTGGAAAATGATTTTTTTCTTCCTATTTATTTCCCTCGCTGACTGCCAATTAGAGTGCCGAGAAGAGGTCTGATGACAGCGATGGAAGCCCCCAGCTCCTTCTCCCCCGAGGGCATAGACATGGAGGGGAAACGCCAGCTCTCTTGGCAGGGTTCTCCTTTAAGAGCACAGAGATCCCTGCGTCTCCCTGGTGCTCCTAAGGAAGCTGCCGGGAGGGGGCTTCAGAAAAGCCTGCTTTGCCCAGGGACTGGCCTGGATTCTCCATTCAGTCCATGCATAATGGGTTGCCATTTTAGATGAAGGTAAAGGATGCTCAGAATTGGATTCTGAGATGTATAGGGAAATGGTTACTTTTAAAAATGCGTGTGTGTGTGGGGGGGGGGGGCATGCACACAAGCACACACACACACACACACACCTGCTAATGGGGTGGGTGAAGGGAACAGGAGGTCTGAAATAAGGAAAGGAAACCTTGGGGAATCTTGTGTCTTTCTGCCTGCCCCCCAGATGCCTCGCAGAGGGGCTGAGCCTCACTGTTTTCAGGGTCGTCAGCCCAAAGGGACGGGCATAAGAGGTGGGACAGAGGAGGGTGTGGGCTCAGAGGGAAGCTGAGCCTCTAGCCCACCTGCCCATCTCCTGGCCCCTCTGCTGGTATTTGGAGGTGATTGGTGGGTGGAGAGAAGGCTGATGGTAGAGGGAACTGACTGGGACACCCTCTTATCTGTTGTCTGGCGCTGGCCTTAAGACTCTGCAAAGCAAAGCACAAAAGACTCTCTCTCCTTCCATCTCTGAGATCTTTGTTTTGTGAAATGAGTGTTCTTGAATTAGAAATGCCGTGAGACCAGTTTTTGATGATGGGCCTTTCGGGAAGGAAAAAGAAAATATTATGTGTAGTTTGTCTTAATAAAGTCTGGCTCTGTGTTTTCTCTCCTTGTGTCTCTTCCATGCTGTGACTACAAGAGAGGGATGGCAGGCTGGGTGGGGGAAGGGAGCATATGGGCCCCACTCATCAGCCAGTGGGTAAAGCAACGAGCTTTAGAATCGGACATGCAAGGGTTCAAGTCCCAGCTGCGGACTTACAGCTGGAGTCCAGCTACTTGATCTTGGAGACTTGGTTTCCCCACCTGTAAACTGAACCCAGTCATATCTACCTCACAGGGTTGTTCAATGAGAAACGTCATAAAGAATTCAGCAGAGTGCCTGGGAAATAACGGTCTGTCATTAGATGGTAATTGTTGGCATGGCTGCTGTTATTACCTTTAGTATTTTTGTTATTATGTTGAGTATATCGTATTTGAAAATCTGCTATGTTAAGACATGATTCCAGGACTTCCCTTTGGGGACCTCACAATCTGCCTAAGGTGGTCAAATGAACCCCCATAGAGGAAACAATTAGAATAGAATTAAATGCGAATTCATTTATTGTTCATCTAAGAACCACGAGGCTCCAAAAAATGACACAGATGGAAAAACTACATAGACGGGGAGAGACCTTCCCTGGGCCTTCAAGAGTAGCTAAGGCTTTAGAGAAGTGAAAACCTCAAGGGTGACTGTGAGATAGGCCTTGGTAACCCCTTTTACTGACATGGAAACTGAGGGTTAAGATTCTTGGTAGCGGGGCAGCTTTTCATGGCCTTTCTGATTGAGGTCTTATCTTCACGAAGGAGGAGAAGTGACTCTTGCTCCAAAAGGGTCAAGGAACCACCTGCCCTTCACCGACACATGGGCGCCATTTCCCAGAGGAAGAAACAGAGGCTGCGAAAAACGCATAGAAGTGCTGCCTGAACCGCCAGTCAGTCTTGTTTATCGGGGAAGGAACGCTGTTTTGGAAAGGGCTGCAGAGAGCAGAGAGCACACCTTGTGACACCTTGTTGAGGCTCGGGTGCCGTGGCCTCTGTCCAAGGGCCAGGCGCCCGCCCAGAGGTGCTGCGTAGTCCAACTGGAAAAAGCATCTGGATCCTTTTTTATCTCCCAGAAAAAAAAAGAAGTGCATCTCATGGTTTTATAAACATAGCTGTTAACACTTAACAGTTTATATTACACCCAGACTGCAAACGCCAAGGGACTTGTTTTATAGCAAGATTTCAACCTCATGTATCTACTCTCATTTCCTCTTTCCTCCCCTCCCTCCCCAACGGTTCACCAATGAAGATGGAAATCTGGATAATAATATAGCGAACACACTAAATTGTAGGCTCCTTTCCTTAATTTCCTTCCTCCAGTGCCAGATAAGACCAGAATGCCTACACTGGTGTTTTATTCCTACGGCTAAAGGGTTGAGGTGGTTAAACTGTTAATAACACTTCTATAAAGAATCATACTAGGAGTGAGTTTCAGATTTCTTCCTAAAAGCAAATCTTGAGAGCAGAGAAAAAACCAAAGAATGAAGGCACTAGGCACCTTGCAGGGGTCTCAAAGGGCTGCTTTCACGGATGTGGAGATGAAGAGAACAGCTGGGCTGGAAGGAGCTGCTGAAGATCAGCTGCCCACTTCCCAATCCTTAGTAGATCCCGGAAGCCCCCATCTTTGGCCAGCGTATTGGCCCTTGACATTGAGCAGAATTTACAAATAATAGGTAAATAGAGCCCTAACCTGTTTGGCTCAGTGGATAGAGCGTCGGCCTGCAGACTGAAGGGTCCCAGGTTCGATTCCGGTCAAGGTCATGTACCTTGGTTGCAGGCATATTCCCAATAGGGGGTGTGCAGGAGGCAGCTGATCGATGTTTCTCTCTCATCGATGTTTCTAATTCTCTATCCTTCTCCCTTCCTCTCTGTAAAAAATCAATAAAATATATTAAAAAAATATATGTAAATAGAATAGGATCAGGGGTTTCACTTTTGTTGGTCACCTAATGGGCAACAGAAATGGGGTTAGTCTATACATTTGTTTATTATCATTTCAATTGGAAAAGAGAAAGACGTTCATTCAACAAACATTTGTTGAGCACTACGTTGGGCCAGGCACTGTCTTAGGCTTTAGGAATACGATTTTATAAAACAGATATAGTTCCTGCCTTCTGGAGCTTACAGTGTAACGGGGGAGTCACAGTACCCCGAGTAAACAAACACAATTACACATTGTGGTTGAGTGTCAAGAAGGAGACAGATAGGGGGCTGGCAAAGGTGGGGAGGAAGCTTTTTCAGAGGGGTGGGCAGGAAGTCCTGTCGGAGGAGGTAACACTGATGCCGAGATCTGCCTGTGAGAAGAAACCAGGCATGATGCGTAGGAGAAGAACCCCGATTCCTTCCCGGAAACCCCAGAACACAGCTGTCTCTCACCTCTGTCTGGTCCAACATTTTTGAAAGACACAGAATTCAAGCAGCACCGAGGTAACACCTAGAACAACACTGCTTGGCACCAACTGTTACAAAACACACATACTCTTTCAGCAAAAGCCTTAGGGGAGAGAGAAATTGTTTTACTCAAAGAAGCGAAAGGAGCATATAAAAGGTGTTTAAAAATAGTACAGGTTATATGTTAAGGTTCTAAAAAGTCCTGCGTGGTGTTGTAACTATCATTTTCAGTACAGATTCCTGTAGCATGCCGGGGGCCTTGTAAACTAGACTGTTCTCTGCAGTTCAGGCTGACAGGCCAAGACTGGCCACATGGGAGGGGCCAGAGCCAGCGGGCTTGTTCCAGGAGAGCCGTGGGTCAGAGGAGCCGAACCGGCAAGCAGTCTCCCTGGCTGGCGTGGCTCAGTTGGTTGGGCATCTGAAAGGTTGTGGGTTCCACTCTCACATTGATGTTTTTCTCTCTCTCTAAAAATCAATGAAAAATCTTTTTTTAAAATGGTTAAAATGGCAAATGTTTTTAAAAAGCAAGAAGTCAAGAGCACAGAGAAGGGGGGAGAAGGACAGAGGGGAGCATATCAGCAGGGAAGCTGGGCCACAGAAGTTGTGCAAGACACAGGGAGGCAGGCACGTGGGGAACACCGCTCAGCTGGAGGCAGGGCCACAGCCCCTGCTCTGTGCCTGGAGCTGGACCTCCAGGAGGGAGTGTGACTGGGGAAGCAGAGCTCCACCCTGGGGCTGGGCACTGGGCAGGGCCCCAGGAGGAAGTCTTAGGTAGAGGAGAGGTGGAGACCCATTCAGCATTCCACTGAGGTGCTGTGAGTTATGCTGACAGTATTCATGATGTAATAGATGCTTCAACGCTTAAACCAAAGA